TCTGCTCAACGATGTCTTGCAGAGAGAAGTAGGCGGCCAGTTTATGGACAAGCTCGAGAGGAATCGGCTCCTCGCTCAGGTCTGGTTCCGCTGCTCTGTATCATCTTGGCCTTTTTCTTTTTCTCTCATTCATTCGTTCATTTGATTTCGTTGCGTGTTTTCTCGTTTCTCTTTTGCTGTTTGTGAAATAAAACAGAGAGACCAAGGTTGCCGTCGGAATAAAATAATTGTTTAAAAATGGAACAGCAAAAAAAAAAAAGAATACTGTGTTTATTTTTGTGGTTGCTTTTTTCTTTTTCATCTTATCGATGGTGTCCTTTTGAGTATTTCTTCTGCAGATTTCTTTCCTGTTTAATTATTAGTTTCTGCTTTTTTTTAAAAAAAAAAGTTTGGTAATGTTTCTGTTTGGTTGCTTAGAAAGTGGTGGAAAAGAAACGTAAGTGTGGAAGGAAGGTGTGCCAAAGTTACGGTTTACGATGATTTATATTGAAAACAAAACCGATAAATCAACTCAGACAAATAGCTAATTTGTTTTTCTTCCTAAAAAAACTATTTGCTAGTAAATCTTTTTGTTAGCTTTTTCCTTTATTTTTTTTCTTTTTTGGAAATGTTATTTGATTCTGTTTGATTGCTGAGGAATTATACTCAAACGAGAAGTGGAAAATAAAGGAAGATGACAAATTGTATATTGTTCTTTTAGGGTACTATATTTATTTACTTGTTCCTGGATAAAAGATAAATTAACTGAATCAAAGCTTGATTGTCTATTTTCTTTGTGTGTATTTGCAAGTGCATGTTAGAATTTGATTTTACATTTTCTTTCCTACTATTTTCCACAAAGCAAACAAAGGGAAAAGATTTATTGAGAATGATTTTTTCCTAGTTTTTTGATGTTGTAGAGTGCTTCTAATATGCGGTTGTCCGGGATAGAGGATATGGCAGAGTTGCTAGAGAAGCAGCTAGCATCTGAGATATCGAAGATGACATTAGAGGAAGCCTTGACATTGGCGCGTGCTTTCAGCCATTACCTCAATTTGATGGGAATTGCTGAGACCCATCACAGGTAGTGGGATGTAGCTTATCAACTGTTGACATTTCATGAGTTCATCTCACTTGTTAATTTCTAAGGAATAATGCATGTAGAATTGTAGACCCTCTGTTGCACTTGAATTATTTTAAAGTTTTATGTATGTAACTTCTGGTCGATTTTCTTTTTCAACGACTCTGAGTGCTGCGAAAAATTTTTTTTTGTTAGTTTGTCGTTTCTAATTGAAACTCTGGAAATGGTTTCCTTTCTCAAGCATTTTACCTCTGCCTTCCTCATTTATTCTGCCATGTTAATTTCTAAGTGCCTACTTGCAAAAGCATTCATTGCATTTCGGATTTCCGGTAAACGTAATGCAAACAAATCTGGAGACATACTATAAGGTGTCCTGCGTTTTCCTTTTAATGTGATATTATTACTTCTTTTAGTTTTTGCTTATGCAAAGCAACTTTATGATAGTTTATATTTAATCAGAAAACTGGAATAACTTAAGACATAATATTTTTGTAGGGTTCGTAAGGGGCGAAATGTTACACATCTATCAAGATCTTGTGATGACATTTTCAACCAGTTGGTTCAGGGTGGCATTTCTCCAAATGACCTTTATAACACTGTTTGCAAGCAGGTGTATTTTCTTATCATTGCTTTTGGTTTAGTTTTCTTCAAAGCCTTGTTCAGTAATTTATCCAGAGAAAAAAATTGCCTTGTTCGGTTGCCAAATCCAACAATACCAATTAGCAAAGAATATTAAGTATTAGAAGCTTCAACCTCTCAGTGTGTTTCTGAGAGAAGTGTGAAAGTCACCTCAGCAAAGCCAAACAAACGTGAGCTTGCCTTGCAACCGTAACTAAAAGTTATCAAGTTTACCACTTTCCCCTCATTTTTTGTTCAAACTATTGAAGAGTAAAATAATTGCAATATTAAGTCCAGTGATGCAAAATGTTGTTCACTTCTTTATTTTTTATCTTAAACTCTTAAATTCTTTTTGCTGCAGGAGGTTGAGATTGTTCTTACTGCACATCCCACCCAAATTAACCGACGTACCTTACAATATAAACATATAAGAATTGCTGTAAGTTCCTTAAATGGCTATGCTGAAAATAGTTAATTACTTGAGTCTTGAAATTGTGTTAGAGCTATTTATCTGAATGTCGGCCTATCTTTCCTTGCAGCATCTGTTAGAATACAATGACCGACCTGATCTTGGTCATGAAGATCGAGAAATGCTAATTGAAGATCTGGTATTTTTCCCCAATGCATTGTTTTTTAACCCCTCTCCAGGAAAATAAAGGGAAAGGGGGGGTGGGGGGTTGGTGTTTCTACTATTGTGGTGATCATGTGAAAAAATGTCTTCCAGTTTTTGTTTACTTGTTTATTTTTTTTACCACGGTTGCTTTTGTCATTTGTAGATGAGAGAGATAACATCTATATGGCAGACTGATGAACTTAGACGCCACAAACCTACTCCTGTAGATGAAGCCAGGGCTGGTATATCACTTTACATATATTAGAAATCGCATGCTTTATTTCTTGTAAAAGATTCTATATGACAATAATATTATTTTTGATCAGGTTTGAACATTGTGGAGCAATCGCTTTGGAAAGCTATACCTCATTACTTACGTCGTGTTAGCAATGCTCTAAAAAAAGTGGGATGTCAATTTTTGTTTTGAAGCTACTAGGCTCTTTGAATATATACACGATCTTTCTTGGCTTTCTCAGTCTCATTATTTCTTTTCTTCATCAATTTCTTTTACAGCATACAGGAAAGCCACTTCCACTAACATGCACCCCAATAAAGTTTGGCTCTTGGATGGGGGGTGACAGAGATGGAAATCCTAATGTCACAGCAAAGGTGACGCTCTTTACATCCTTTTACTTTCTAGCTCCTTCATGGCTGCTTTAAACTGGCTTATACTCTAAAATTTGAAAGACTCTTTCATTTTGGGAATGCTCATTGGAACCTTAGTTTGGAATTTCTAGATTGATACTTATTGTTTTCATTTTTGTTGAGATTTAATGTTCCTCTTCCCACCTTGTCTATGTTACAACTATTGATTCCTTGCATTCTCTAAAGAAGTAACTATCTTTACAATTTTATCCAGAATTTTTATTTTCTTCTACTCTTACCCAGTACCTGATGCCTTCATTTTTTATCTCTCCTTCTCATTGTTTCAGGTAACGAGGGATGTCTCACTTTTGTCTAGGTGGATGGCCATTGATCTGTACATCCGTGAAGTTGATAGCCTTAGATTTGAACTGTCCATGAACCAATGCAATGATAGGTTATCCAGATTGGCTCATGAAATTCTAGAAAAAGGTGTGGCCTGTTTGGCAGGTTTATGTTCTTTTCAACCTCAAAACAATTATTCTAGAATTTTATGGTCATTATATCAATTTGATCCCATCTTATGTTAATTGAAGTCTACCTTCTCTTAGGGGGCTAAAGTCATGCACATGTAGCTTAGAGAGTGTTAAGATGAGCATAAATCTAGTTGGCCTTGATAAACAAATATGTCAATTCGGCACATTGTTTTGAAGATTATTTTTCAAATTCATTGAAAGAAACCTAAACGTGAGGATATAGCTGATGTTAGGAACATGGTTTTGATTCGATTCGTGATCTACTTGGTCATTTCTAGTATGCTTTTGATTCTATTAGATTTTGGATTATAATCTGTTTTGATTTTCTGAATCTCAATCCTTTTACTTCTTCTGAAATCTGAGAGTAGGTTTGTTTTATCTTCAGAAACCTCGTCGGAGGACCTGCATGAGAGTCGGAACCAACCTTTAAGCCGAAGTCAATTCAAGCTTCATGGCCAACAAGCTCCTTCCCTTCCTACCCAACTTCCAGCTAGAGCAGATCTACCCGCCTGCACTGGTATATACATAAATAGAAAAGCAAAGTAGTTTTGGTCCTTGTTCACTTTGGGAAATACTTTTGCACCCTTATTTTTGCATATAATTTTGAAGAGTTTTTGGTCTCTCTAATTATTAAGATATTTGAGGAGCCCTTCATTAAACATGTGAAACATTGTCTTTTTTTTTTTTTT